ATTATGAGAAAACTTTTTTATTTAAAGAAATTTTTTTTTATAAACTATACAGTAGTACGTGCTCTTTTGAGATTTACTGCACCACTGATGCGTCACTATATGTAGTACGAATTTGTATTGGTTAGTTACGCGGCATAACAGACGTCTAGTGTAACCTGATGTCTAGAAGTATAACAATCACGGCACACAATACATACTATAACTATACCACATGGCATGGCACTCACGGCATACTACCTTATTACCACACACGGCATAACGGCAACATGACCCAAAGGTAGTACTACCATTACGTCATAGCCGTAATGCCGTATGTAGTTACTACTCTGAGAAATATCTGCATCATTAACTCTAACTAAGTATTAGTTGGTTGTGATAGTTGTATGCAGGGTGAGGCATATAATACATATATTTCAAATCATATAAAAAAAATTAAAAAAAAACTTACAAAAAAATGGGTGTAACTATAGAGCAGTTTGATTATAATATCATTAAACTTCTACAATATGTGATAAAAAAAATATAAATAAGATTTAAACTTCTTGAGCTCTGAACTTTCAACTAATAATAATTATTTTACTTACACTAAACTAATACAATATGAAAATATATATATATAAGTAAGACTTAAATGTTCACGATCTTAAAATTTCAATAACCATTAAATAATAACTATATAGATGTGACTCTAACTAAGTATTGGTTGGTTGTGACAGTTGTGTATAGGAATGGAGCATATAATATATAGCTTTTGAATTGCATAAAAAAAATTAAAAAAAAACTTACAAAAAAATAATATGGCTATAGATGGCAGTTCGATTATAATAACCTACAAACTAATATGCAATAAAAATATATATAAGATTCAAACTTCCTAAAGCTTTGAACTTTTAACTCATAATATCTATTTTACTTACACTAAACTATTGCTATAAAGAATAAAAAAAATACATATATTAAATATAGTGTTTGACAAAAGTTTTCTTGCACCAATATCTCCTCATAAAGAAGTGCTACAGCCTTAAAACTTTTACAAAAATTAGTATGTACATAGTTTAGATCATGTGCATTTTTTGAAGATTTTTTAATCACTAGAAAAAAGTTTGTATGAGAGCTAAAATTGGGATGTTTTTTTTTAAAAAAATAAAAAAATTAATTAAAATTAAAAAAAAATTAATATATTGTTAAGGCTTAAAGTTAAAATTTTAACAAATTAGTATGTTAAAATTCAATTATTTTTGTTGTAGTCATAAAAAATTTGGCTCGATAATTGTTAAGAAATTAATTTTTAAAATTTCATTTTTATTTTTAAAAACTACAAAGTAATAGTTTTTTCAATTGAAACTATTTCGATATCTAGTAATCCAAATTTAATGATTTTGGTATTATTCGAATTGTCTTGACAAGACAATTTTAATGATATCAAAATCATCAAATTTGGACCGTTGAAACACAAGATATTAGTAAAAAACTTTTGCAAAACAAAAAGAGTTAGATATCAACAAATCAAAAATAAACCTCAAAACTTTAAAAATTAATTTCTCAATAACTATTTCATCAAATTGAATCAAATTTTTTGCCACTATTACAGAAATCATTGAATTTTAATATATTAATTTTTAGAAGTTTTACAGTAGTTTTAAGTCTTAACAATATATTTGAATTAAATTAATTTTTTAATTTTTTTGGAATGAAAAACATCCAAAATTTAGCTCTTGTCTAAATTTTTTTCTAGTGATTATAAAATCTTCTGAAAGTTTCAAGATCATAGCACCTCTCTATGAGAAGATATAGATATAGAAAAACTTTTGTCAAGTATTGTAATAATACTTTATAGACATAACTTCAAGTATTAGTTGGTCGCGACAGTTGTGTGCAGGTGTGGGGCACATAACATAGCTTTTGAATTGTATAAAAAATATACAAAAAAAAAGATATAGCTATACTATAGGTGGCAGCTCAATCATAATCTACAAACTAATATACAATAAAAAATATATATATATAAGATTTAAACTTCTTGAAGTTTTGAATTTCAATTCATAATATCTATTTTACTTGTACTAAAACTATATGAAAAAAATAAATATATATATACTATAAGATTCAAATATTTATGAACTTTAGAACTTTTGACACCACTAAAAATAAATAGGAGATAAAAAGTATTGGTATCGGTATGATATAATCTGAGTTTAATTAATAGTGAAGTTTGTATTATATGATTTGTACTACTGGCTCGCAAGCCTTTTAAACCAAAATCGAGTTAACCCCAAATCCGGTCAAGCTTAATCAAGCTGGCTCAATTTGGAACACTAGTCAATATCTTATTTCTTAAAAGGTCCAAACTAAACAATACTCTAAAACTAGTACCAAACCAAGTTTTATTTCACAGTATTATTAAAAGTTTCTGCTACCTTTCTACTTGGGTCTTCTCAAGTAGGTTTTTAGTTATTCTAACTCTCTAGGATTTATACAGTTTATATTCTATCTCTGGTTTGAATTTGCTAATTACTGGAATACATTTCTCTATATTACCTGTATACAGATGTGGAATCTATAAATTTATTACTATAATAGCTTTTTTTATTCTAGATAGTATTATTTACAATTACAGATTTTAAATCCAACTAATATAGATAATTTGTTAGCTATAATACAGACCAATATTTGAAATTATTATTTGTGAGATTCAAACACCAGACCTGCTGCTTGGTGGGGTGATGACTAGACTACTTTACTAAGCCACTACACTTTAATAAGTTTATAATTTAAATCTAGTACTAAGAATAAAAACTTAAATATATAATTAAGAAATCTAGAGCTTTATTTTTGTTCTTTATATATATTGTTTCGAGTTCTGTATAACTATTTTTAGTAATATATTTTATAAATTGTTTATAAATATTTTATAGTTTATTTTATACTATACAAAAAACAATTAAAACAATTATAATATATAAGATATTAATATATATTGATATTAGACAATTTTATATTGATCTTTTATTTTAGTTTTTTAGATGTAAAAAAATATAGCCAATTTTAAAAAAAAAAATTATTTTTTTGTTATTTAACTCAAAATTTTGCTTAAAAGATTGAAAAAAAAAGAATTGGTATAAGAAATTGTCTGGCATAAATTAGAGTAAAAAATATTTACTTATTTGCTAGCCACTTATAAAGTATTATTTTTAATTTACTATATGCCAAATTTAATTGGCTAAAAAAATTAACATAGCCAATTATTGTAACAATTATATATATATACTTTTAAATTGAATATATCAGAAAAAACACTTTAAACAATAGGAATTGGTGCAGTAAATAACCAATAAATAAGTAGTCATTTTTTGCTCTGGTATTGATACCCTGCATATTATATTGTTTTTTGCGCAGCATGAGATGAACCATAAGACGCACTACCAACAATGGTCAGACAATGAATATCTGCTCAGGGAAAATACCAAATTTTTTGCTTGAAAGCGCTCTAGAAGAAATAAAAAAATTTTTTTTATATAATTTATTTTATTTTATATTCATAAAATAGTGCAGCGTGGTATTTAAATAAAGCTCATATCTGTGAAAAATTTGACCTTTTAATACTTTCTAAGATTTTTCTATTTGAAAGCTATACTATTTACAAATCAAATAATAAAAAAAAAATTGATACGTCTAGAATTGCGTGAAATAATGCGATTTAACTAAAAAAAATTTTTTTGCTCCATTATTTATAATAGCCACTGTAGATTATTAACTGACTATAAGTATATTTGGTTGATTGGGACTGAGGCTGGACCAAACTAACCAATCCAACCCCTATAGATAAGTTTATTAATTCTTAAAAAATTTTATTGCTTTAAAAAAAAAAACAATAAAAATAAAAAAAAATAATTGAAATATAGATTAATAATTATATATCTTAAAATTAATAACTTTTATTAAAAACTAATAATCACAGAATAATTATTGTTTAAAGCGGAGATAAAGAATATTAAGTGGAGCTCGGAACATAAAGGAACCTATTTTCTAATAAATACTATAAATACCAGAATGGTTAAATTGTTTAAATAGAAATTTTTTATCTTACGATAATATATACTTTGTCGACTGGGTCGACTATCCTGGTTTAAATCATATCATTAGTGAAGGTATAATTTGGCTCTAATATCGTATGGCTTTATTAATGTATATTCTTAATAATTAATTATGCAAGGGATATGAAAATTGAAATAATGTAAATGGTTAAAAGCATCTTTGTTTAAACAAAGAAATGATATGAAGTAATAAATAGATACAAATGAATAATTAAATAGCGTGGATATCATCATTCGTTGATGTTGAGTTTGACGATGCATAGCTTAATTCACTGCCTCTTCGTTCAGAAAAACCTTTTTCAACATCAGTTCCTGTAGCTTCAATCTCCTCTTCATGAGAATTATTGGAGTTATCATTTTTATTACGTTTTCCCATCACAAAATTTGCCCACTCAAAAAAGGATAATCTCTTCATTGATACGACGACATGTTTATCTTCATCTATTTGACTTATTTGTCCTCGTTCAGTAGGCGAATATTGTGGTAAATCATTAGACGATGAAAAGTGAGAGTCTTTAAATTTACGTGGAGTGCGCGGAGTGTAGGGACTTGGAGAACTTTTAAATGATTTCTCGGTACCGGCCGAGCTGTCTTTATTCAAATTTTTACCCTCGATGACTTTAACAATTTCTGCGTCAGCAGTGATAGTATAAACCAAACCTATGTTTAAAACTGTTTTTATAGCGAGATCCAATATAATAAAATCAACATCGGTTGGTTTGTATATCATGACCATGCCAACGGCAGATTCCACGTGAGAAAGGAAAGCAAAGAACATTCTTAGAAAATTCCAATACATAACGGCCGTGAATAATGAGCGTTTACTCTTATGACTTATGTTTGTTGATATTTGAGCAGCATTTTTGTTTGCTTTCCTGAGAATTTGCACAAGTCGTACAGTAACATAAATATCAATTAAAAAGTCAAGAGAAATGGAAGCAGTAACGAAGAATCTTAATGGTCCTTGACTATGATCGTAGACACAATATTCATTTTTTGAAACCGGATCATAGTGAACGCTGGCGCGTGTTACGGCCAATATGGGCACCTGTATAAATAATAAATGTAGTTAAGTAAAAGAAGTCTAACAAATAAATGAACCCTCTAATAGAAAATACCGTAAATATTGTCTTCAAGATAAATAATATTATACTGTTCCAATGATTATATCGATTATTGTGTATTTGCTTTAGTCTCCACAGCAAGAAAGCAGCTAACGCTTCTCTAAATATTACATCACCGATGGTTTGAAAATATTGAAGCGCGAGACATGAGGCCAATGGGCCAGTTATGTATATATAACCAAAAAAAGTTACTATATAGCGCCAAAAGTTGCTAAAATTAAAAATAATCTTAATAAGATTTGTTCCATTTGCTTGTCGAGTTTTGTAAAGAAGTATTGACACTATAAAATGATGAATTGAAACCTAAATGATTGGAGAAAATAATGTTAAATTTTTTTTCTTTCCTTTTTTTTTGAAAACATGCCCAACGTAACGTTAAGCTTACTGCGACAGCCGTTCCAAGAATTAACGCCGCATAACCTGTAAATTGAATTTGGTCCATTTTTATGTTGCCAGCTCAAGAACTGAGATTTTTAAATAGTTAGAATGCCAATAATATTTAGAAGAAACTATAAAAATTTTAGAAAGTCGAAGAGGTGATGAAAAAATAGTTTAAAGGAATTCAAAAATCAATATATTTTGAATTAAAGATTTTTTTGGTGAAGACATGTTTGAGTATAAATATATCTAAGAAAAAAATCATTTATAGCCAAAATAGCGAATAAAGGAATTGTATTTAGACAATAATAGAATTGTTCGAGAGACAATATTAACGGACGCTCGTACGAAATTATAATATTGTTGCCATTATTATTTACATAATGCTTCTGCACACGGTTTAATATATTTTTTTTATAAAAACTGCAAAACTGCAGTGTTGTAAACTGTATTTCTAATTCATAATGTATTACCTAAAGAATTTAAGAATGTAAAATGATCAAACATCTAATTCCTAGGCATCAAACTTTCTTTCTTTATAATAACATGGGCCGATCGAACTAACTACGTACATGCGTACGTAGCTGTATGCGAAGTTCTGAATGCTTAGTATAATGTAACATGTTGGTATACATCGAATTAAGAATCACATTGTTAGCGTTAAATCATTTCTGGTAACACAAATATACATCATAAATGAAATATTACTAATAATAGCAGTACTAAGTTACAGTTACGTAAAAAAGTTGAAATTAATATTGTCCCTGTTAACATTATTGTTATTTCAGAGATCAGAGGTCAAATATCTTATGAAACATATATTAAGAAATTAGCTTGTTTGTACGTAACTATTGGTTATTTAAATTAATTAACCTCAAATCGATTATGTCTTTGTAGTTGCTGACAAACCTGTCACCAAAAAGTTACTTTATAGAAAAAAAAGGAAAAAAAATGCATTAAAAATAATTATTAAGTTATCGTTCGGCAGTTACTATCATGTATTTGACGTCAAATTAATACGTACAGATATCTGCGGCAGGTCAAAAAATAATTTATAATGATGCTAATATCTCACCCTAGTATTGAAAAATTATGGTTATTCATTGACAATACGATTAGAACGTAATACTATAATATAATATATTATGTTTTAAAGATATTAATTAAAATACCATTAGCTAAATCGAACCGGACTTTGGCTATAACGAACCAAAATATAATATTTCGCTTTATGTTGAAGACTGTTCTTGAAATTTTTGTTGATTTTAAACTTTGTTATATAATATTTATAACCAAGTGCGATGTTTTTATTTTTTAGACCATTGATTTATTTAAATTAAAATCTTTGAACATCTGGTTTACCTTCGGTAAACTTTCGTTGTACATATAAAAAATTATGAGCAATAAAAGAATTTAAAATATGTGATGGAAAACAAATAATAAAGCCTGTCTGCACAAACTGTGAACTAGTTTTAAAGTTTATTTAGAGAATATTGCGGCATATACTGTGTGTATTATATGAAGTAAACCCTCCGTCATGTATTATTTCCGGGCTCTATTAAAAATTAGTGGAATGTAACTGACCCGGGTCCATTTACGTAATATTGTTATATATTGTTATATATATTATATAATTATAGTATATACATAGTTAGATAAAATTGCAGAGGCAGTATATTTAAAATACTGTACATAAATTTTTTGAATTTCTAAACCAAAATTTTATATATAAAAAATTTTTTTACTTACCGTGCCCTGCTTGAATAAGCACGAAAATAAACCTATTCCGATCGAATTTGGTTGTGTGGTTGTCTTAATAGCGCTAGTACTGTTTAAGTGCTATAAATAGCTAGACACTGATTACATCCCTTACATGTATTATCGGGGATTTTTATTGCAATTCTTGAATGTAGTAATAGTATGTACAGTACGTTCGTAAAAATTTCTTTGTGATTGAAAACTTCCACCATGTGCTTCTTCAACGTCCTGTACTCTAAATGTTTTCTATTTTTTCTTTGTGAATTGAAGATATAACAGACATATGAATACAGTCAATTCACTCTATGCAGAATTATTATAATTTTTAAAATTTTTTAGCTCGTCCATTATAAAAAGGTTCATTATAAAGAAAGTTGACCGTGCTTAATATGTAAGTAGAGTATATTATAGTAACTTCGGAAGTATCTAAGATTAACAAAGCTTATATAATTTAGTTTTAAAAGTGAAACCCCTTTAACAATAAGGAACACTACTATTATTCTTTTTTTAAGGTACGATTCAGCGTAAATTATAAAAAAGTTTTTTTTCATTTAAAAGAATTTTTTTTAGTATTAGCTAATATATTGCAGTATATATTGTGTTTATTGGTAACAAGTTATTTGACTATCAAATATCGCTATAAAAGATATTATTTTGTCATTCACTTTTTCCGCAATGAATATGCCATTATATACGCACCCTAAAGATCGAGTGGCTATCAAATTACTGCTGCGTTTATGATAATTATAATAGTTAAAATAATTTATAATACTGTATATACTGTATATGTATTTATACGTATTATATATAATAAATAACTTTATACGTAGATTAAAGTTGTAATATGTTTATTAATAAACTGCATTTCATTAATTATTTTTCTAGAAATAGCTGAGACCAAAACTTAAAATCTCGATTTAAAAATATAAACTCTATATACCAAGATTTATATATAAATTTTTCTAATTTAAAGATTAAAAAAAATGTAAAAAAAATTTAAAAAAAAATATTACGTAAAATATTTACTTTTTTGATTTTATTATTATTTTTTTATTAGTTTGTTAATTTATACGTATATATATATAAAAAAAGAAATAATTATAATTTTTTAAGATAATATAATTAATTAACAACTATTAGTACATGTTTTTTATATTTATCTATGTTGTTCGTGATAATTCATAGTTAATTGTCATAAATATCCGAGGTAACAGGTTTTATTAAAAGAAATTCAAGACAAAAAAGATTTACCGTAGTGCACTGATTAAGAGACCCGAAAAAAAAATTTCATGCATATACACATTCTGCACTTACAATAAGCAGTCTATGCAAGGGGGATATTGAAAAGGGGGAATACTTTGGTCAGTGCACTACGGTATTTAAACATGAGTATAGATAAGCATTATGATCATTTTTACTTAGAACCCCTGACCATATTTACTTAGTACATTTTCGAGATATACGTATACTGATATATACAAGTAAAAATGTCTATAGATAAAGATAATTAATTTTATAAAAGAAATAAAAAAAAAATTTGTTTTCTGATCTAGATAATTATAATTTTCTAGACTGTTTAAACTTTTGTACTTAATTAATCTAGCCTATTTAAATTTATTAAATTTTATATAATACCAAATATCAGAATACCAATATCTGTATAAATTAACTAATAAATTAAATAATGTACAGTATAATTAGTGTACGTATAATTTATAATAATTATTATATCTGATATATTGCAATAGCTAACTACTACTGTATAATGGGGTCTTTGCCTTGAAAATCACCCTCCGACATTTCTGATCGGGTTAGTTCGGACAAAAAAAATCAGTATACTAGTTCACTTTTATATTTGAATCTCTTTTTTGCCTTCATTGATTCGAAACTTTATTCTATAAGCTATTGAACCATAAAGACAAAAGGGGTTTACATACAAACATAAACTAATACACGGCTTTGTTTTTGTCTGAATTAGCCCGATCGGAAGGTGATTTTCAAGGCAAAGACCCCAAATATTATAATCAAATCACTGGCCGACCAAAAATTCGGTGGTCAAACTGGTCTGCTCAAATTGGTCATATGATCTAGTCAAATTGGTCAAATGGCCTAGTCTATTAAATAAATAAATTTAATATATATATATACAAAGTATATAAATATATATAAATATATATAAATATATATACATATGTATACTGTATATTTAAATATTCTTTGGCCAATTTGACCAACACTAAACCCTTTGACCATCTGATTATAAACTATTAATATTATTATAATATTATCCTTTAATTTTCTATTTATAAATTAATTTAAACTTTACTACCATTAGTTTTAAAGAAAGTTTTTATATTAACAAATTTAATATTAATAAAAACAAAAAATATAATAAATAATTTAGTTTAATTAATTATTTATATATATAGTAAGTCTATATTATTATTAGAGATGTTATGTGGTCCGGTCTTAGACTAATAAAAAAAAAATTGGTCTGCTCTAAGTTTTAAGACTGGGTTGGTTTGGACTAGTCTAGCTAGTAAAGTCTTAAAACAGAAAACCATAATAGACCAGACTAGACTTGGACCAAAATTGACCAGACTGAACCAGACTAGACTGTTACTATCCCTAATTATTATTAAAAAAAATTAGTTAAAAATATTTTTAAAAAATTAAAAAAAATAACTTCTTTTTTGTTTTGCTTTAAAAATTATTTTTGAAAATTATTTAATAAATAAAAATATATTTCTTTTAGTTAAAAGTAGTTGTAAAAAATTAAAAATATGAGAGTATAGCAACATAACATTGTGGTAAAGTTGTTGCACTTCCAAGCTAGTTGGCATAGTACTAAGTTTGATTCTCACTGGCAATGATTTAAATACTTTATTATGTTATAATAATAGCATATTCTAAATTGGGCTGGGTTCTATATCTGTAAACTGGAGCATATTAATGCCTCATGTGTGCTAGAAAACATAAATGCATTTGTATTGTTGTACAAAGAAATGCAAACTGGTATAGATAGTGCAAACCCATGATAAGACATTCAGGATTGATGTATACTAAAGACCTACACACAGTAGCTTGAGAAAACTAAAACCAGCTTGGCAAATTCTGATTAAAAAAGTAGCAAATTAATCTAACCAAGTACTACCTGATACTACAAGACAAACCCAACTAGACTCCAAAAATTAGAGAAGTTGTGCAACAAAGATCTTTTGGGCAAAAGAGATCTATTAACCAGGCCGCCAAGTTATTTAGAGAAAAAGGCCACATGTTATGAAATTATAGACCAAGGATTGGAAG